AGAGAGAGAGAGAGAGAGAGAGAGAGAGAGAGAGAGAGGAATGTACTATGATATCTTCAGATGGTGATACTGGATACACTTAAGAAAATCAAAGGAAGATCTAAACATCCAGCATTTCCCCAGCTAAGATCAGACTCACCCAAGAGTCCTGTGTGGACTTCATCTTAGGAATGTAACCATTGCTGTGTGTCCAGTCCTTTCTCTGGGAGCTTTGGCCTGACATCTAGTTATTTCAACAGTGGTGCCATCGGACCAGCACTTAGTCACAACCCTTTCTATTTTGAATTAGAGTTGCATTTTTCAGGTTTGTCTTTCAGTTGGCCAAAAAGTGTTTTTGACATTGCATGATTGAGACTGAAAGCATAAATGAGATGCAGATTCGAACCGTAAGCTCCTGCCATTGAATGAATGGATGAGTGAATGAATGAAATGCAGACTCATGCCATAAGCTCCTGCAGCCGGGTACATATGAAGAGAATAAATGGGATCATCAAGAGGGTAGGATATTTATAAAATCTCAGGAAAAAAAAACAGGTAGATAAACCTGTGAACTGCTTCTCATACATAAATTTAGTAGCCGTTCTTAGCAGGATTATGTATCTAGGCTGTGATCAGCAGCTGAAATTTCCCCTTGATTTGGTCTTTTGTCCTATTTCCAGAGGGCCTGGGCTCCATCATAGTCTGTGAGTCTGAGCAGAAGCCAGGTTGAACTACAGCATGTGCTCAGGTTATCTGCTCACACTCCCTGGTTCAACTCACTCCTTTGGTAGCACAGTGTGTCCTCTTCTATAACTGATCTGATTATCGTTTTCTTTTTAAACACAAACGCAGATAGGCAACAGTAACCCAGGAGTCTTGCTAAGGCATAGAGTCTGTTTCCCTGCGTGTGGATAGGCAGCTGAGGTTCTGATCTTTAAGGGGTCTGTAGCTTAAATTGTGCGTCACATTCTACATAGCAGTAACCACTGGATTCATGTCTGTGTCTTTCCTTAGATTCACTGAGTCTTGTTCCGTGTACCCTAGTGAATTTTCATGTTACCTTTAGTTTGAAATACTTTTAAAGGAGTCCTCGAGGTGTACAGGCAGAATTGAAGGGAGGACAACATGTAAAGCACATGTTATGATCTCTACCCACAAGTAACTTATCGGACACTTGTCAGACAGATAAGACCTGAGTATGCATGTACTGGTTCATGGCCCACATTAAATAATAGTCAGATGTGTGTGTTAAATGATTGATATGAACATAAAGATCCAAACACAAAGATCAGCTGTTGTAGGCATGTGGGCCTTTTTTGGGGTGACCACTGGGTCAGCGCTGCACGGTCCATGTGTATAACCCGGTGATGATGAACTCTTCCTGGACACTGTTGTTCGCTTCTAGGTTGGCAGTAGTTCTGTCATGCCAATAACTGTTGTTTACATTCTTCCTGTGAATTCTAATGCATTTCTTCTCCAGACCTAATCTCCAACTCCTTTCTTTTCTTACTCTACCTTATTCTCTCCAGAATCATTTCCTCTCAACATCTGCTTCCTAAGCCGTGTGTTCCCAGTACAGATATTTCTACCAAGGTATCATTCTGTTTTCCACGACATCTTGTTTTGCTACTGTGATAACTCCCAAAACATCATTCTAAAATATCCCCTCCACACAGCCTGTTGCTTTAAAACTTTGGTGATTTTTCTACAACTGAAGGTTCAGTATTAGATTTCTTATCCTGATAACCAGATTCTGGCCTTAGCCTGTTGGAGGTCAGTCCAAATGACCCCTTTCATCCATAGGACTGGGCTTCATTGCCGATGCCTTATTCACGTCCCTAATGCAATACACCTAGCCTCAGATACCTGAGACTTCTGGTTGCCCTTTTGTTCCCTACCAATTCCTTAAATCCTAGGCACAGACCAAACAAAGTATGGCCTGACTCATTGGTCTGGACTGAGCAGTTTCTTTTGAATTCTTGAGCACTTAATGCAATTATTGATGTTTAAAACTGTAATCTCACTGGGCGTTGGTGGCGCATGCCTTTAATCCCAGTACTCCAGAGGCAGAGGTAGGAGGATCTCTGTGAGTTTGAGGCCAGCCTGGTCTCCAGAGTGAGTGCCAGGATAGGCTCCAAAGCTACACAGAGAAACCCTGTCTCGAAAAACCAAAAAAAAAAAAAAAAAAAAAAAAAACCCAAAACAAACAAAACAACAACTGGAATCTCCTCCTGCTTTGTGTGATGACTTAACTGTTCTTAATCTGTTGTTTCATAACTGACAGTTAAAAATTTAAAAATCATGCAGACCGCCGGGTGGTGGTGGTGCACGCCTTTAGTCCCAGCACTCGGGAGGCAGAGGTAGGCGGATCTCTGTGAGTTCGAGACCAAGTTGGTCTACAAGAGCTAGTTCCAGGACAGCCTCCAAAGCCACAGAGAAGTCCTGTCTTGACCCCCCCCCCAATAAAAAAAAGAAAAAAAAAGCATGAGGACCACACACATTCTCCTTAGCCTTTCCCATAGCACAAAGACTCTACCAACTATTAACTGATGGTGGCTTAAAATGGCATTGTTCTGGAAGGAGTCACTGAGCTTACTAACCATGTGGCTCCACAGCAGAAGAATGCTTGCTACATACTAGCCTAGTGTAAGTATTTGTAGGCATATTTTCCAACTCTAGAAAGTTGGATGGAAATTTCAAAGGTAGAAATTCTAAGAGCTGGGTGCATGCTACAAGCTTATAGATCCAATTATTCAGGAACTTTGTGTGAGAGGGTCCTGTGAAATATAGTGAGATCCCTATCTCAAACAGAACTTACAAATGGTGAAGGAGAACGTGAAGAGAATGTATTGGGAATAAAGTAGAATTACATTGATCTTGTATGCACATGAGTTTTTTTTAAAACCTGTAAACGATGATCTAGAGGAATAGTTATCAACTAGGGAAGCTGCACTGATTGTTTTATATCAACACAACACAACCTACAGTCACCTGGGAAGAGGGAATGTCAACGAATTGCTTCAATCAGACTGACCTGTAGGCATGTCTGTGGGACATTTTATTTGGCTAATGGTTGATATGGGAAGGTCCAGCCCACTGTGGGTAGTGCTGCCATTGGACAGGTAGTACTGACTTATGTTTGAAAGCAGGTTGAGCCATCCATGGAAAGTAAACCAGTAAGCAGAATTCCTTCATGATCCCTGCACTGGATAGTTTAATGTCCAGTTGACACAAGCTAAAGTCATCTGAGAGGAAAGTACCTCAATTGAGAAAATGTCTCCATAATATTTAGCTGTGAGAATGATGACTGCCTTAAATGCCATCCTAGAGCCTTCATCCAGTAGCTAGTGGAAGCAGAAGCAGAGATCCACAGCTAAGCACTGAGCCAAACTCCTGGAATCCAGTTATAGAGAGGGAGGAGTAATGAACCAAGGGGTCAAGACCATGCTGGAAAAACCCACAGAAACAGATGACCTGAGCAAGTGAGAACTCATGGACTTCAGTCTGACAGCTGGGGAATCAACATAGGACCAAAACAGGCACTCTGAATGTGGGCGTCAGATAGGAGGACTGGGCATTCTATGAAGCCTCTGGCAGTGGAACCAGGAGGTATCCCTAGTGCACTAATGGACTTCGAGAGCCCATTCCCCATAGAGGGATACTCTCTTAGCCTAGATACATGGGGGAGGGCCTAGACCCTGCCCCAAATGACTTGACAAATTTTGATGATCCCTCGTGGAAGGCCTCACCCTCCTTGGGGAGTGGATGGGGGGATTGGGGGACATGGAAGGATGGGAGGGGGAGGGAACTGGGATTGATATGTAAAATAAGGTTGTTTCTAATTTAAATAAAATTTATTGAAAAAAATATCTGGCTGTAGGCAAAACTATAGGACATTTTCTAATTAGTGATTGATGGGGGAGAGTCCAGCCCACTGTGGGTGGTGGCATCCCTGGGCTGGTGGCCTGGGTTCTATAAGAAGGCAGACTAAGCAAACCAGGAGAAGCAAGCCAGTAGGCAACACTCTTCTGTGGCTCCTGTATCAGCTCCTACCTCTGGGTTCCTGCCCTGTGGGAATTGCTGTCTTGACTTCCATTGATGAT